TGATGAACCGTAGAAGCATAAGAAATGAAATCATTAAGGGACTACTCACTAATATGTTTTTGAAGTTTCTCTTCAGTAGAAAAATGTCCAACCTCATTTTTAATATATATTTCAGCTAATTCTGTCTATATTCTTCTGCTTCTCATTATGCTAAGACATTCAAAACATTGTTTTGATCTACTGATCAAGACTTGTGTGTAGTATATTGTACTTATTCAGGAAAACCCTTCACGTCCCTGTGAGACTCTGTATGTGGGGGACCCAGTGGTGACTCTCACTGGGTAAGCTCAGTTCCTTCTTCCAACACCCCATTTCTACCATTTCTGCTTTATTGTAGCCACGTGCGAAGTGTGTCTAGGTGTGTGACCTGTTAGTGTGTTCTAAGCAGTGCAATCAGGAGACGTATCCAACTCTTCACCCACAACTCCACTTTCTCTTTTATTTTTAATTTGGTTTATTACACTCACTGTTCAGAATCTAATTAGAAAATCCAAGATAATATTCGTTTCTCCACCTAAATCAGTTTTCTCTTTAACTGCCTGGAAATTCAGTACAGTAAGTAGTTAATTGTATAATCTTAGTTCCATTCTTATGACACATGTAATCCAACCTTTCTGTAATCTTAGTAAAATAGGGAACTGGAAACTGATAAAATTTTTATTAGTGCTGGGATAAATACTATGGAATGGTTGTGTTAAATTCATGTCTATGAATACAGTTATATCACTTAAAAATGTCATGTTGAATTACATTTAGTTGGGATTAGTCTCTTGTCAGTTCCTGTTCAGTATTGTTTCTGCTGAATGTGACATGTATTGTCACAATAACGAGCAGGTCAGTGGCTCGGTGTACTTTATCTCTTGTGTTTTATGTATTCTGTCTTTAAAAATTAATAAGAGAATCTGGGAGGATGGTTCAGTGGTTAAAGCACTTGCCATGGGACTGGAGTTCAGATTCCCCAGAACCCATATAAATGTGGGGTAGGCATGGTGACCTACCTGTAATTACACATGTATTTACACACACATGTATACATGTACATGTAGACATGGGTACGTACAGACACGCACATCTCACACAAATACACATGAAAGCAATGTGGCTGTCATCTGTCTTCATGCTTGGAGAGAGCCAGGAGGACCACCAACTTCTAAGTGCTAGGATACAGGTGTGTGGCACCATGCCCAGCTTCAGTCTGATCTGAGAGTTGGCTAAGAAACGGATGGTTTCATTTAGAATTTCAAGGGCCTACTTTGTTTTCATTATGTGTTGTGAATATTAAGCAGTAATAATGAGTTCATGCATCTAACCTAGTCATCTGAGTCAATTAAGTTATCAGTATAAAATGAAACATTTACTGAATCTTTCTAAATTCAGTTAACAGAATTAATTTCAAGAGATTGCAGAGTTGTTAAAAAGCATGTGTTCATTCACCATAACCCAGCTGTAAACTGGGATACAACTCCACTGCCCTCTAGCCACGGGGGCCCAGTGATGATACCTAACACTCGGTGCTGTAGCTTCATGGCCTTCAGTGGAGATGCCAGCACAGGTTTCAGAGAAGTAATGAGCTCACTGGATTAGTGCAGTGATTGAGCTATACCAGCACTTCCCAAGCGCTTGCTGTTGTCTTGCTAAACTAACCTGCATTATGTCTTGATTATATATGAGCCTGTAACTGGCTTTACCTTCATCCTAGTGTGTTTGCTTTCCGAATTCCTGTCTGCCATGTGTTTTAAGACTATCTCTTTTCCTTCCTTCCTTCCTTCCTTCCTTCCTTCCTTCCTTCTCTTCCTTCCCTTTTTTCTCCCTTCCCTTCCTTCCCTTCCCTTCCTTTCCTTCTTTCCCCTCCCTCCCTCCCTCCCTTCCTCTCTCATTCTCTCTCTGTTTCTCATCCTCCCCTCTTAAGTTTTTTTCTTTCAGAGTCTCTTGTAGCTCTCAGTGTCACTAACTTGATATGTAGCTTAGGATAATGTTAAACTTTCATTAAATGTTAAACTCTTGCCTCTACCTCCCAAGTGCTGAGATTTCTCATGTGCCTGGCTTTGCATTTTTCCTTCTAATACTGTAAGTACAAAATAACTGGTCTTAGACAGTCTAGGAATGCAAGCAATTCAGGATATCCTCTGTTAGCTGGGTTGCTATGATTAGTGCCATGGTGCTATAATAGTGGTTAGAGTTATTAGTTTGAAGATTCTTTAAGGTATGGAGGAGAAAGGAAAAACATGAAAGTAAATACATAGAGTTCAAGCTGCTCATATGCTGATTTTTAATGGTCCAGCATTCTTTACACTGAGCTGAAGCAGAGTGCCTAAGATGTTTCCTGTGGGGAGAAAGCAGCTCCCCAGAGGCAGAAAGCCAGTGGGCCAGCCAAAAGGGGCTCTAAGGAGCTGTGAGCTCTTATTTCAGCTTCTATTGCAACTTCACTGTAGTGATGTTGAATGGAACGCCAGCTCCAGTAGTTACTGATTCTCTCCAGGAAAGTATTGTTTGTACCATACTGTTTCTGTAACTAGCCTGTCTATAGCTGACTTGCCTGCTACTTGAGAGCTCATGCTTCTTCCACTTATCTTTGTTTTGTGAAGAAGGGTTAGATGGGACTAACAGAGCTAAGTCTGAGAGTCTAGTCTTCACACATGGCAGCAGGGTCTTCCAAACTGTGAGACGTGTTCTCCTCTAGATTGCATGTGCTTGAGGAGTTTTATGTTATTTTCACAAGTCATACAGCTCCCTGCCATGTACAGAAGCTGGTCTTCAGTGTAAATATCTCTGTGTGCCTTGGACCCGTACTGGTTGGTCTTATTGATCCAGTAAGTGGAGGTTTAAATCCCTGTTGTGATGCTAAAGTGGCCCCATAGGAAGAAAGATGCTGTAAGGGGCCAATGAGTCAACTATGAGGTTACAGCTGTCGCTCAGGTGTTGATGGGCAAAACTTGCCTAAGTAGACACCTTGATTGTCCTGAACAACAGACACTGAAGATTATTAATTACATATTGTCCAGGACATTTCTATAGAGAGACATTGCTATATCATCAAATTATGTTTGTAGAGTAGTTGTCAAAATAAAGAAAAAAATTAAATGTGGAAGCAGACCTGACCCCTCTGCTGTGCAGCTGCATAGCCATTTAGTAAAGGAGTGTCCTCATCCTCCAAATGGGATGCATGTTTACAGCATTCTTAGTGTGCTGTCTTCCTTACAACTTCATTTACAGTTTCCATGCTTAGCCTGTCATTTTATAGGAATTATAAGCCCAAGTAGTCTCTGTGTGGTTATGCTATATAGTCTCTCTCTGTGTGTGTGTGTGTATGTGTGTGTGTGTGTATGGTTAAGTGTTATATAGTCTGTGTGTGTGGTTGTGTTATACAAAAGATTAAACACCTGGGCTAAGGAAGGAGTTTTATTTCATCAGAAAAGCAGTTTTGAATAATTTCTGAGGACTAAGAAGCAGTGAATTAGAATGTGCAGTTACACTTCTGAACCTTCATAATCCATTGTTCTTTAGCTTGTTACTCATTTATCTACGTTATTACTAGTAAAATTATTGTATGATATATCTATTTTATTTAATCATGGGTCATAGTAGTAACACTGAGGCTCAAAATTATCTCTAAGAAAAACATGGATTATATGTACTGTGATTGATATGGTGATCATTTCACTTCATAGGAATTAACCAAACAAAGCCTAGCCTAAAGGAAGACTGACATTATACATTTATGTGTCAGTTGTGTCTCGTTTAACAGAGATCATATGGTTTATTAATAACTTAATGTAAACTAATGAGCTTCCTAAGTTATAAAGAGAGGATATGTTCTCCTCTATAGGAGTCACAGCTGGAGTCTGTATCTGCGTGTGCAGGGCTGGACCCCTTCCAGAGTAGAAATCTAGCCAGTTTTCAAGAAAAATCAAGTTTTGAACTTTAATGTATTTGGAACATGTGCAGCAGAACATTTTCTTCCTGCCGTCTCCTAGTGAACAAACTGTATACCAGCATATTGGGTTCCCTGTGTGTGGAGCTCAGGTATATGCAGGACAGAGAAGCCTCCTGACTTAGGGTCCGCATGTCAGTGGTGGGACCAATTTCCTCTTTGGTTTTTCAAATATGAAAATGCTTGGCTCATTTAAATATTAGCTACCGACTGTGTATTCTAGTCCTGAATGTGGTGGCATCTGGGTACAGCCGTCCTCCGATGGCTTGTGTTCTCATGGTGTGCAGAGTGCTATACCGATTCTTTTTGCAGCAGTGTCCTCAACACACATGGGATAGACCATCTCTAGACCATATCTAGGGCAGGACTGGTGTGTAGTCTGGCTGGTCGGTGGCCTGGGCAGTGTGAAGAGAACAGGAAGGCCGGTGACAATGAAGCGCTATGAGTGTGGATGCAGGCCGACTCCAGGAGAAGCTTCCAGTAGCCCTGCTTTAGCCAGAGCTGGATGTTTTCAGAGGGCAAGTTTGACTAATGGTAGGAGACTACACAGAAAGTGACCTGGAGCCAGAGTTCTGGCCGAGACCCACGCAGCCTCTAGTGGAGGGAGGGTGGCGGCTGGAGTTCTGGAGGACCGTGAGTTGCATGGTGTGTTTGAGTGGCTCTGAGCCTGACCACACTGCTAGCGTAGGCTTCGGGATGACAGATTTCATGCTAACATGGCTGAAAGTTGGATTCCTTGGAAGATCATATTTTAGTGTGGACTCTTCCAGTCTTGAGGGTGTTAGATCTTCCAGAAAGTTAGAATGTTTGTCTGCTTTAGCTTCTTTAGCTTCCCTTTGTTGCATGGAAAGAGATAACTTCCACCAAGTTCAAGTTCGAGTGTCTGTTCTCCACTTTGAGTTTACCCCACTTATGTGCATTATAATGAGAACTAGTTAAGGTTTATTTGTTTATTTATAACTGCCTCAATGAAAATTCAGTTGTTTTTAATGAGGGAAGACTTGTACATGAGCCATGTGTTGAGCTTTGGGCCTTCTGTAACGCATGGGTTTCTGGGATCTTCTGCTAGTCACATTGTCCTGATGCTTGCGGATGACATGGCGTGCAATGCTCGCAACCCCAAGCCAGCCACGGTGTTTAGCCACAAGAACATGGAGCTCAATGTGTATGGAGACGACGTGGAAGTGGACTACAGAAGCTATGAGGTGCGTTGTCAGCAGGCAGAAATGCTGTCACCATCTTCTTTCCGCCCTGCCTTAGCTGTCATTTAGCTTTGGTGGAACTGAGTCTGCTTTTGGGGTTCACAGTATGGAAGTAGTGACACACGGATAAAACCCTGGATGCATAAAGTCAAGGACACTTATGTCAACTTTTTTAGCAGGAAATGCTTGGTTTTCATACTTGATCTAAAATTTCAAGTTCAGTAACTTTATTTGATATCCACTATTAATGAGCTCTCTTCCTATTGCCCACTTGGGGGCTTTGTCCAGTCTGTGCCCCCAAACAGGGTTGTAAACTTACTGAACCATTTTGAGACTTTTTTCTTTTGTGATTTTTTTTTTTTAAACTTGATTGCATGGTTCCCAGGCATGACTTTGTAGATGGCAGATGCTTTAGTGTAAAGGTTGGGCACACCTGTTTGACATGACACCACCTCAGATACGCTTCTACTATTTTACCCTTTCCCAGTTAAAATTAATATGCAAGCTAAGAATGGCGTTATACTATATTTCTTTCTTAGAAACTTAGCTTTTAATAGTTCAAGGCTGTTTGAAATTTGAAGCCATCTAGATAATCCTTGTTTTTTACCAAGCCCACTGAGAGTAGGAGACCATCTCTGTGTGCGGAATCCTCTCTTGTCGGCTGTCAGGGCACCTGTCCCAGGCCGAGGGTCCTTTAAAGGACGCTATATCTGTGTGTCTTCCATCCAGTGAGACTCACATATAGCTGCTCAGAAATGCTCTGTGGATTGAATGTGTATGTATGTTTGCCTTCTTACTTATTTGGTCATTTGAAAATGTAAAAACATTCCCTACCTTGTTAGCCAATAAGATTCTATTAAAACAATCAGCATTTTGCTGTATTCTGGGAAAGAGTGTATGCTAAACAGCTTGTGCATGTGTGTTCTAAATGTTTCCCACTTACGATTTTGGGGAAAATCCGTTGAAAAAAAGCTGACTGGATTTTCTGCTTTTTAAATTAAATATGGACAATATATGACTTAGCTGTCAACTTTAAATCGGTATTTTTTTTCCTACAACTTTAAACATTCCTCTGAAGAGCTCCAGACACCTAGAATCCCCAACTGGGGAGACCTGTTCTAAGTGTGTTGGCAGTAGAAGAGATTTAGATGGAAATCTAAGTGACGCAGTGCATCCAAAATTAAATATACATAATTTGGCAGGGGTGGTAGTGGTTGTGTGTGATTAACCTGTAATCGACTGAATGGGGCATAGATTAGCTGCATGATTAACTAGTTATTCGTGTTTGTATTTCATGTCCTCCCAAAGAATTGCTTGTATAAATAAGTCAGTAAATTTAACACATAATATAATATTTAAAATTCTAAATTGGGAGTTAAATTATTTTGCTCCAATGTAGCTTTTCTTTGTTAGTTTTTAGTACGAAGGTGCTTTTCTAGGTTGTGTCTTGCTGTGTCCCCAGTATGGCTTTGAGGTTATGCTTCTCTTGCCTCAGTGCCCCCCATCACTACCCACATAACATGCCGGGTCACAGGCACACACACCCATCCCCCCTGCCGGGTCACAGGCACACACACCCATCCCCCCTGCTGGGTCACAGGCACACACACCCATCCCCCTGCCGGGTCACAGGCACACACACCCATCCCCCCTGCTGGGTCACAGGCACACACACCCATCCCCCTGCCGGGTCACAGGCACACACACATCCCCCCCTGCCGGGTCACAGGCACACACCCATCCCCCTGCCGGGTCACAGGCACACACCCCCATCCCCCCTGCCGGGTCACAGGCACACACCCCCATCCCTCCTGCCGGGTCACAGGCACACACACACACACATCCCCCCCTGCTGGGTCACAGGCACACACACCCATCCCCCATGCCGGGTCACAGGCACACACACCCATCCCCCCCTGCTGGGTCACAGGCACACACACCCATCCCCCATGCCGGGTCACAGGCACACACACCCATCCCCCTGCCGGGTCACAGGCACACACACCCATCCCCCTGCTGGGTCACAGGCACACACACACATCCCCCCTGCTGGGTCACAGGCACACACACCCATCCCCCATGCCGGGTCACAGGCACACACACCCATCCCCAATGCCGGGTCATAGGCGCACACTCACACACACACACACACACACACACACACTCATCCCCCCCCCAGGCCGGGTCACAGCCACACACACATACACACACACACACACCCATTCTCCCTGCTGGGTCACAGCCACACACACCCATCCTCCCTGCTGGGTCACAGACACACACACTCATCCCCCATGCCAGGTCATAGGCGCACACACTCATACACACACACTCATCCCCCAGGCCGGGTCACAGCCACACACACACACACACACACACACACACACACACCCATCCTCCCTGCTGGGTCACAGGCGCGCACACACACACAAACACACACACACACACACACACACACACCCTGCTGGGTCACAGGCACACACACTCATCCCCCATGCCGGGTCATAGGCGCACACACACACACACACACACACACACACACACACTCATCCCCCAGGCCGGGTCACAGCCACACACACACACACACACACACACACACACACACATCCTCCCTGCTGGGTCACAGGCACACACCCACAGCAGGCCGTCTTTTACTTTTAGGAGCACAGTCGTTTGAAGGTGCATGCTTAGCTTTAGTAATCTAAAATAATTGCACTATAATTTGTTTTCTGTTTCATTTTTAATTTATGCTGAGTAATATGTAGATAGGAGAAATGTTTTTAATTTCTTCAGGTTCAATTTTATCAAATTGCTCTTGTTTTAAAAAAAGTATTTTTACTTTTTCAGGTAACTGTGGAGAACTTTTTGCGGGTGTTAACCGGGAGGGTGCCTCCTAGTACTCCTCGTTCAAAGCGTCTTCTCTCCGATGACAGAAGCAACATTCTTATTTATATGACAGGTATTTCAGAATTAGAAATCCGTAGTCGATTACGTTGAAACCCGCTGGAGCGGAGCCCCGTGGACAAGTGCTGAAGTTTAACTTAGCTAAACTAGCACGGTGTGCCGTCGTTTATTCCCATGACACAGGGCTACTTGAAATGATACCTAATGGGGTGTGGATTGAGGATCTTTATTCTAGAATCTGACACTGTTGCCGGCCTGTGTAAATGTCACAAGTGGAAAAATTCCCATCTAATGTCATGTGACAGGTGGGAGTCAAAACGCAGGCCCACTGAAAGCGGACAAAGTCACCTGCAGACTCTGTGCACAGGAAACATGAGTTAGTTTCATGTCTACACCTGGGTCCTGGCCCAGAACGTCTGGCTGTGTAGACAGGTGTTCTGCAGTCAGCGGTCCTCCTGGTCCCTCGTGGAGGACAGTGCATGATGTTCTCTTTGTGTTGGTTCCGGGCTCTGCACAGAGCTCTTCTGCTCTGCCCCTTTTCCTCAGTCTCCTGCCGCCATACCCCACTTCCTGTGTTGGCCTCTTGTTGGCCGTCCGTCCCTTCTCTGCTGAAAAATTTATAGTCTCCAGTGTTCCTGCCTTAGGATTAGCGTAGTGTAGAGCTCAGGCTCAGGACTGGGACTCCGCCTGACATCCTTTGTTCTGGTCAGGGTGAGACTCATGAAACTGGTGAGCATGGTCCCCAGTGTTCCAGTTTCTAGGCTAGCTTTAGTTAGTGTACTAGACTGCACACGTTACAGATTTTACATTTCTCTTCTGGATTTGTTACCATTTCCTTGAAGATAACTCCAGCCATGAAGGAATTCAGTAGTTTTAACAGAGCCTGGCAGCCTGCTCTCCTGGGTTCTGCTGCTTGTTTAGGGAGCGCGGCTTTGAGGGCCCTGTCGTCTCTGTGTGTTTTTTTCATCTTCTGCCCTGCTTTCCGCTACAACGGCAGAGTCTAGTGGTTGTGGAGAGATAAGCGAGCTCGTAGCTTAAACATTCCTGTCCACTGTTTTACAGGAAAAGGTGCTGAAGTCTGGAACGGGAATAGCTGATAATTAGGATACTAAATAATAAAAGCTGCTGTATTTACAGCTCTGCACACCATGAACTGTCTTCAGTCCCCACGTTTCCCCTTCAGCAGCCGGTGATTTTGGTGATTTCGGTGCTGTTCCCCAGAGCCTCCGTGCATAGTTGTGCAGCTCTTACCTTGCACACAGTGCTTGGCTTGGTGCTAAGCGACAACTGCAGTCTGGTGTGCTTTGACTGACTTGTGTGCCCTGCTGCAGGGATGTCCGTGGGAAGGGGAAGTGCACCTTACCCGTAGAGCTCACGTCACGGGGCCCGGGGGCCGGAACTGACCTGGCCTTTCCTCCTTCACTGCGGAGAGGAGGGCACCTTAGCAGTCTGCATCAGGGGCCGCGCCAGCCAGGAGTGCTCCACTGTGTGCAGAGAATGAGGCAGAGATTAAGTTATTTACCTAAAATAGAACAGGCGGTAAGTGGCACAGCGAGGGTCTGCGTCCAGACAGACTGGCTCTTTGATGTCACCTCCCTCGGCCAGCTCTAATGGACTGTGCTCAGTGGTCAGGGATGCAGACATCAGTTTTTATCTGAGACCTGTGCTTCCTAGTCATAGTAGCGTGGAGCATACACTGAAGGGACGGCGCACCAGGACTGGGTGTTCTTAGTGCCTTTCTCACCAAAATGTGACACATCTGTATGGATGAGATGAACTGCAGACATACCAGTGGAGGCCAGTGGAGTTAGGTAACTATGATAGAAAACCTTAAAGAATGATATGAACGGCTCTTGTACAGTCCAGCCATTCTTTGTTTAGTTGGTGGGGAAAATTGCAGCTGTTTTCCAGTCCGTATTTTAGGTAGGAAAGTAGTATTAAAGCATTGCAGGAAAGGATGTACTGTGTATATCTGTGTGCTTTTATTACTGCGTGTTCTGTATGTGCCAGGAAATATGTCAGTGTTGTCTTTTTGGCTTTCTACAAGGTCACGGGGGAAATGGTTTCTTGAAATTCCAAGATTCTGAAGAAATCACCAACATAGAGCTTGCGGATGCTTTCGAGCAGATGTGGCAGAAAAGACGGTAATTAGCACCTCCTCACTCTGTTCCTTACTGTCTCCTGCTCTTTCCCACAGGGTGAGGGTTGAACCAGGGCTCGTGCACACTGGGCAAGTGCTCTAGCCGGGGCTACACACACAGACCAAACAGATCATGCACCACTATCAACCTCCTGTGGGAGATGTGTGATTATTTTACATGATTTCAACTTGCCCTAATCGCTTCTTTTACTGTGAAATTTATATATGTTATTTCATTGAACAGCACTTTGTGAAAGGAAAATTCAGTTATTTAACATGAATGAGTTGACTTGAAACATTTTTCATTTATCTGTTTATTTAGTGTGTGCATGTGTGCATTTGTGTACACGCACATACATGTGTGCACGTGTGTATATGTATGCACACATGTGTGCCTGTGTGTGCACACACTCTGCTGGGCATGTAGAGGTTAAAGGGAACTTGGGGGAGTTGGTTTCATCCTTCCTCTATGTGGGTAGCGGGGACTGAACTCGGGTTGTAGGTCTTGTTCCCCAGAGCCTTTTCTCACGGAGCCCTCCCACTGCTCCTGGATTGACTTCAAGGTCACACCTCCTGCTCTGTAGCTGGTATGTTCTTGCCATGCCTACTCCCGCAGCGTGTATTTGAGGCAAAGTCTCACTGTGTCACCCAGACTGCCCTTAACCTCACGATCTTCCTGCTTCACTTCCCGAGTCGCTGAGTCAAAGATGTGCCACTAAATTAGTTCATTATGTTTGATTCAGCCTCACTCACAGTTTCAGGGCACAGGCAGACGTAGCCAGATTCTTTGCCGGAATACATGTGGACCGCCTCTAGTCCAGCTCCGGGTGTCCTCTGGAACCTGACGAGCACAGACTGTCTGTTTCTGTTGGCATGGTGACCTTCTGAGCCCCAGCACATGGTCCACCCAGAGCACTCTAGGACTTCCCAAGGCCGCAGCTCCGAACTGTTCCACACTTGGACATGTCACGTGTACCCCAGCAGTGACTCCACCGCTCCGTGGCGGTGTGATTGTTGCGAGGCTGCAGCTATTGGCAAGCACATTCAGGGAGGAGAGTCACTCTGGCCCCCAGTCTGGAAGGGAAAGTCCATTTGTTTTCCATCTAAACAAGAAGGCACAGTGAGCGGGGAGAGTCTGATGTTATCAGGGAGCTGTGGTTGAGAGACAGGAAGCCAGGAACACAAGCCTGTGAGGGTTGCACTTCCAGCTGGTTGCCCTCTGCTGAGAGGCTGTGGGACCCTTGGGACTGTGCCTGAGCTCTCTGGGGTGAATGGGAGGGGGATGGCCGGGGCTTTCAGATTCTGAACTACATAGATGTGACTATGTCACAGGCTCCTGCCACTACGGATGGAGCCAGTCAGCCCCTGTGCCTTTCCTCTGCTGGAGTGGAACTGTGAGCTAAAACAGACACCCTTAAGTTGTGGCTGTTGGGACTTTATGTCTCAGTGTGTCTGCAGCACTTGCCTCTCCAGCCGTACTGGGCATCGTTTGAGTACGGTGACGGAGCCATACACACATGTGTGTGAAATACGAGCATCAGCAGAGCATTTGTGCTCATATGTGCTCATATACAGAGTTAAGTTTCCAAGGAAACCTGTATGTCAAGAGGTTCTTAAATATTTGAGCTCTGAGTTGTGTGGCCGAGAGGAGAGGGCAGACACATGGAGACAGCTGTCTTGGGACATCACCTCTGTCCCCTTTGGAGCGCTCTCATGAGTAGAATTCTTCTTTTACCTTTCAGCTGATAGGTGACTGAGGTTTACATTACTGAATCGTTGGAGGAGTATTAGTGTATAGCTAACAGCATGATTTGGATTCTCCCCTTTTCTTTCAGCTGATAGGTGACTGAGGTTTACATTACTGAATCATTGGAGGAATATTAGTGTATAGCTAACAGCATGATTCGAATTCTCCCCTTTTCTTTCAGCTACAATGAGCTGCTGTTCATTATTGACACTTGCCAAGGCGCGTCCATGTACGAGCGGTTTTATTCCCCTAACATCATGGCCTTGGCTAGCAGCCAAGTGGGGGAGGATTCGCTGTCCGTGAGTGTTTTCCCTTTACTCCACGTGTTTTATGTGTGCGTGCTGTTGTTAGATGTTATAAACAGGAAGTTTCGATATTTCAAACAATTTGTCAGGATGCTCCTGTGTGATGAGTGCTTCCCCCTCTCGCAGCACCAGCCAGACCCTGCAATTGGAGTCCATCTTATGGACAGGTACACCTTCTACGTCTTGGAGTTTTTGGAAGAGATTAATCCAGCTAGCCAAACTAACATGAATGACCTTGTAAGTATTCTATTGATTTTATTTCACATATTGGTGTGCTAGCTTTTATGTGGTTCCTGAGGTCTGTTCTTCCCAGGATTCCAGTGGGTGCTGTGCTTGCATCATGGTGTGCCCTTTGGAACTTCAAAATTACGTTTATCTGTCTGTATGGGTGTGCATATAAGTGCATGTGTGCAGAATATGTGTGCATGTGTGCAGAATATGTGTGCATGTGTGTGCATATGTGCATGTGCAGAGGACAACTTGAGGAAGTCAGTAAGTTATGTCCTATGCGGGTCCTCTGGTCATGAGGTTTCGTGGCGTGTGCCCTTACCTGCTAGGCCATCTTGTTGTCTCCCAGTATAACGTTTAGCACACGGGGCCAGCAGCTTTAACCCAGTCACCCTTTATTCCTGGGTCCTTGACTACTTTTGTTTTGTTTCTTTTTTACCTGCTGGGTATATTTTAAAAGCCATCTGTTCACCTTTTGAAGTTCTCACCATTCTGACTGAGTTTAGCCGGGCTGTACTCTTCCAGGAAGGCCAACTGAGCTCTTCCTTGGATTTTATTTTACTCTCTCCGAGCTTCCATAGAACTCAATTTCTCTCTTGTAACATTTACCAGTCTGTCTTTGTTGATTTCAGGCATTGAGCGAAGTCTTTGTCATTTGACTTGAAGCCCTTTCCTTACATAGTTTTATAGCCTATAACTTGTAGTGGAGTCTCTCAGCATAGCTTGAATTTAATTAAAATCCCCTTCTTTCCTGTGCTGTGCCCTTTCAGTTCGAGCAGCTTGAAGCTGCTGAGTTGGCAAAGTGAGAAGCTGCAGAGGGTAGTTCTGTGATGACGTCACTCTTCCCACCTGCTTGCACTGTGTTCATTCATCTGCACACACTGGTCCGACCCTCCTGTCCTGCCCTCCCAGTGCCCGTGTCCTGCTAGCACAGGGCCGCTGGCGTAGGACGTTCCTTCTGTGTCTGATACATGTGGTCACTGGCTGTGCACACGGGCAGACACAGCTTCTGCTTTCCTGGACTCAGGAACGAGGGTGACCGAGCAGATGACTCTGTCCTTACTCTCAACCCAACTCTGCACTGGCCCTCACCGAGCAGAATCCCTTCGAGTGAGTTGTCAGTATTGACAGAATCCTGCCAAATTCTAGAGCTGCTGCTGTGGGCTGCCAAATGGGCCAGGAGTACTTGCTAACACCAGTTTGAAGATTATGTGTGTTGATACGTGTTAAGTTCTGATAGGGACTTGAATATTAACACAAACTTTTTGTAATACTAATTTCACTTTTTAAAAAATTTATTTATTTATTTTATATCCCGACCACAATCTTCCTTCCCTCTTCTCCTCCCACTCCCTCCCCCTTCTCTTTGCCCCCTTACCCACCGTTCCTCTGTTTGCTCAGAAATGGGCAGCCCTCAGCATGTCCTGTCAAACTACCATAAGACCAAGCACCTCCCCTGTATTCAGTCTGGGTGAGGCAATCCAGTATGAGTAATGGGTTTCTGAGAGCTAGTCAAAGCAGGGACAGCCCCTGCTCCCATTACTAGGAGTCCCATGAAACATGATTAATAAAAACTTAGAGAAATTGGGGTTCAACCTGAAAACCCAAAAAGCAGCCAGCCACTGGCTTTTACCTCAACCTCAGTCTAAAAATAGTGATCCTGCCTCCAGGAATCTCAGAATGAGACTATGTCTGAGAGCTGTTTCCTTCCGTTTTACATTCCTCTCTAGGGCTGGGATTAAAGGCGTGCACTGCCCAGTTTCTATAGCAAACTAGTGTGGTTACTGGGATTAAAGGTGTATGTTATCATTGCCTGGTCTGTTTACTTTCTGAACCTCAGGCAAGCTTTATTTATTAAAGTACAATTGAAATGCCCAGTCCCTCCAGTAGACGAGCTGTGTAGAGGCCCAGGTCAGGCCGGTGCGGGCTCCCTGGTTGTTGGTTCTGACTCTGAGCTGCCATGAGTCAGGCTAGCCATTTCTGCGGATTTTCCTGTGATGTCCCTGCGTTCTGCTAATTTCACTTGTTAGTAGACAGAAGCACCACCTTGCTTCTCTCTCTTATGAAAACATGCTTTCTCTCGACTTCTGCTGTCACAGAACCCGAGCACAGCAGCTCCTGGGCCGCTTAGCTCACGTGGGAATGCAATACACATTTATTCCGAGAAGAAAATGCATCACCTTTTCCAGTGCTTATTTTTAAAATCTTTTTTATTTTATTTTTTCAGTTTTTTGAGAAGGGTTTCTCTGTCTGCCAGCTCTAGGCAGGTGGATCCCTGTGAGTTTGAGGTTAGTCTGGTCTACAGAGTGAGTTCTAGGACAGCCAGGCCTATATAGAGAGACCCTGTGTCATGCATGCACACAAAGTGATGTGTAAAGTGATCCATAAGAACTTACAACAATTTGTTATATCTCTAGGTCATAATAGCACTTGCTTTGTGTTCTGTTATCTAGAGATCCAGAGTACAGTTTGCTGAGGGACTGTGGTCGTAGGACTGTGTCGGCGCTGTAGGAGCAATAGAATATCTGCCCCCTTAATAGTACACTGTACCGTTGGAGTCTGTGTTTCCAACCGTAGTCTCTGGCTCCTCAGGTCATCTTTAGAAGGTGTCTGTGAGCTCAGTAAACACTCCTTTTGCTTTTCTCAATGAGTGTGCATGTGTCTGTCTTGCTAATCACTAGTGTGGAGTGTCACAGGTAAGATTAACACAGAAATTACCATGACATCTGTGAGTGGAGAAGTCTGGTTTTCACTGCATGTCTGGGGGATGCTACCACGGTTAAACTAAGTTAATTGGTTTCTGAAGGGACACATAGTTTCACAGCAGTAGAGGTGTGCTGTAGTTGGCCATACTTCACCTTCCTGGAGTCCGCTTGGACTCTGTAATCTTCTTTACCTATTGGACAGCTGTGGCTCATTTTCCTTGACTACTGTGTTAGTCAGATCAGCACCCTTATAGCATCTTCTGCTGTCCGTAGGCTTCCTTCTGAGACCAGGCACTGCAGTAGGAAGGAAATGCTAGTCTTACCCAGGGTCTTATCTTTATAATACACTACCGTCTAGTGCACTGCTTCATGTAGTCAAAGTTGTTTGTGTATGTGCTTATCACGATGACTAATACTGTTACTATTTTCAGTTTCAAGTTTGTCCCAAAAGTCTCTGTGTATCTACTCCTGGACATCGTACTGACCTTTTCCAGCGCGATCCCAAACATGTCCTGATAACCGATTTCTTTGGGAGTGTGCGGAAAGTGGAGATCACGGCAGAGACCATCAGCCTGCAGCGGGACCCGACAGCCGTGGAGAGCAGGTATTCATCTCAACTGCTACACAGGTAGCAGCTCCAGGCTCGTGGTCTGTGAATTGTTATGAAACGTACTGGGCCGTGACGGTGTTTGTGAGTAGCGTGGAGCTCCTCGCTGATCCCCACCCTTCACAGGCTGTGTGTTCTTCGGGTCATGGACAGACGCTGTCAACATGGCTGGGAAACTGGTTGTGCTCGGATTGGGATGGCTTCCAAACTACAATGCTGGTCACATTGCCGTGTGCGATGTGCTAAGGCTTGAGATGCCAACAGCAGTCAGTCAGCCATGGTTTGCTGCTGGAGAAAGGTATTAGACAGACAAAGCTGTGTAGGGCATTGGTGGATGTGTATTTGTATGCGGGAGGCCGAGGGAAATTGGCTTAAGTTAGGGCTTTGAAATATTTACAATGCTCATTTTTTTCCTGTAATTATTTTTGAAAGACAAAATGGAAGCGTTTGTGGGAACTATAGTAATGCCTTTTTCTAGTAGGTCAGGCAGCTCACGCTCCAGGGCCTTCCCAGATCACTAGGGGCAGCTAGCACTGTTTCAGGGATTTCTAGTTGCTGCACGGAAAGTGACAGAAACAAGTTAGAAATGCCAGGAGGACTTCCTGTGAGGTTTTAGGTAGAAGCTCAGTTCTTGATCTACAGTTCAAAGCCTTAAGTTTTTTTTTTCTTTTCCAATTTCTTATGGCTGGTGACTTATAAAACTGTGAAGGCTGCAGATAAGAGCAACAGAAATAATTTTATTAATTTTTTTAGATAGTAGCTTTAAAATTACTTTTGTAAAAATTGCTAAGCTGCACTTTAATAGACTATGAGATTATTTAATACATTAGCATTATGTCTTTTACCAGATTAGTTTTAAAATTTCCCTCAACTTCAAACATGTGAAAGTCTTTTTACTCCCATTTAGCCACCTGAACACTGTATAATCTCCCTTGGGGACGAGGACATTTTTGTCCCTTCTTTCTCCCAATGCCGAACTGTGTATATTGTAACTGGAAGCTGAAGAGGATTGCAGTGGGGTCGTAGGAAGTTTTGTTATATGTTCTGGAAGAATGGATTTCTCCTCTTCAGTTTCCTTCTCTGTTTGAAAGCAAAATTCTTAATGCTGACAATAGTCACAGTTTGTATTTAAGGATAAAACTAAGTTTTGCAATTGCATTCCAAAGTCTGTTGGCTTAGCGCGCCCTCTAGTGTTTGCAAGTAAGTTTTATTTAGGGTGTTGCTCTTTATAATGACTGGTTATAAACAGGGCCTCTGTTCACTGGTGTCTCTGCCCTCCCGTCTGTTTGAAAGGTTCAAGCAGGAAGACTACACCCAAGAATTAGCTGTCCCTTGCAGCATAGCGAGACCTCTCTCAAAAACATGGCTGTTTCATTCATTCAGCTAACATGAGAATTCTGTTCCTGTTTTGCTCCAGGAGCTTTTACATGTATGAACAGGTATTACTATGTGCAGGTGCTATTCATATGCAGAGATGGCTGGCATTCTATGCACAGAAAAGTCTGTCCATCAGGAAGTAGATATCACAGAAAACCATGTTGTGATGGACATTTTTGGATATGCTATATATTTACTTTTTCAGATTTTAGACCAGCAATGTTAATACAGCATTACTAAAAATGCTGGGTGCATTTTGAAAAACACAGAACATAGTGGAAACATTGCACTGTTATTGGTTCAGATTGGCTTTTTTTATATTTCTGTGTAGTCTCAGCATACACCTATAATCATATAGACTGAAATCATTAGAATGTAAAGCTAATTGGAATAGCTGTGAGAAGCAGAACTTTTATGTTTTCTGAAACTTAGGTGTGATAAGGTGACATCATGGAGCGCAGTGAGTGGAGGAGTCAGTTCACTTCCCTCAGAGGCTGTGTTTGCCTTTGTGCTGATATTTTATTTGTGAATTTCATGGATGTTGACCATGGCAATAATTTTTCATTAAAAAGACATATCATATAAATATATGGAAGCTTCAAAGGATAAAAATTATGAAACAAAGGATAATTTACTTAAGAATGCCTTTTAATGTATTTTCAGGATTTTGACAGATACATACAATTGAACAACCATTTTAGTCTCTGACGCTGAGTACTTTACGACTGTTCTCGCGGACACCTTGACTGCATTTGGTAGACCAGCACATCTGTGGTTGGCCTTTGGTAGACCAGCACGCCCGTAGTTGGCCTTTGGTAGGCCAGCACGCCCGTGGTTGGCCTTTGGTAGACCAGCACGCCCGTGGTTGGCCTTTGGTAGGCCAACACGCCCCGTGGTTGGCCTTTGGTAGGCCAGCACGCCCCGTGGTTGGCCTTTGGTAGGCCAGCACGCCCGTGGTTGGCCTTTGGTAGGCCAGCACGCCCATGGTTGGCCTTTGGTAGGCCAGCACGCCTGTGGTTGGTCTTTGGTAGACCATCACGCCCGTGGAGCAGGCACTCCAGCATGTTTGATTCTGGCTCTGACCCTGATTAGCATGTTTGCATCTGCATTGTTGTGGGAGCAGCACCTTCTGATGGCTCGCCCACAAACTGTCCACTTACTAACCAAAGGGTATCTCTCCCTATCCCAGATTTTGGACATTATTTAGAAATAAATGCTATATACATTTTCATGTAGGTGGTAAGGTTTCTTTCATCTGAGTAATATCTGAGTGTGGGGTAGCCGATCCCGGGAGCTGCAGGCTTGACTTGGTAGGAAACTCTCAGCTGCTTTCCGAAGTCGCTGTCACTTTGTCGTCCCACAGGTGATCACTCCACACACCCTTGTTCCTGGTGTTTCCTTTTAGGTCTTCTGGGTAGTAATAGCTCATGGTGGTCCTATTCTGCATATTTAATGACTACAGATGCTGAGCATAGTTTTATTTACTGGTCATCAATACATCTTTCATAAAGTATCTTTTGCTCATTTTTAAAACACTGATTTGTTTCCTCCTTAGATGACGACACTTCTCTGCATGTTCTGGACGCAGGTTCTTTTTCAGATCACAAAATGGTTTTTCTAGGTTGTGGTTTTCCTCTCAACTTGGTTCACTATGGTTGGTTTATCAACTTTCTCTATGCCTAGTAGATGCTGGGAGTCACTCTTCGCCTAACCTAAAGCCACAGGGACTTCTGGAAGTTTATGGCTCCCAGTTTATGACTGAATCTGGTCCATTTCAGTCAGTCTGTGAGGACGGCGTGAGTAGTGGCTGACATTCGTTTTGCTCATGAGTCAGCTTGTTGGTGTCTTGAAGAAGCCAGCTGGGGTTTTGATTGAGATGGCTTGACTCTGTTCATTTGGGGAGTGTGGATAGCAACAGTGGGTTCTACAATCTGTGAACGTATCCCAACAGTCATTTGGATAGCTATTTTCTAGGTTGGTTGTACAGTTTAGTTTTCTGATGATCCTTTGTTTGGGGGGTCATGCTGACTCTGGTGTTGCTGAATCAAACATCTCAGAACCTCCAGAAGATTTCTCTTTTGACCAGATACAGACAGCTTGACTCTACAGTCACTCATGCAAGTGACTGCCATATCTATAATTCACCACATGCGTTCCAGCAAATGTGTATTTACAGGGATGTCTTTCATGGAGACACCTGAATGTCGGGTAAACTCATCCCGAATATTGTGGACTCTGTGATTGCACTGCTCCTTGCATGCTGCTCATAGTGAGTGGGTTAGACTGTGATGCTTCACTGTAGGGCGGGTGAGATGCTCCAGTCACCACTGACAGGGTTGGTCCCTGACGTGTACACAAGTCTCTGGTGGCTTATATATTTGCTCACTATGTATAGATATAGAGATATAAATATAGAGTTCTATATCACCTTCAGCATCTTACTTGGCCATCTGTTTTATTATCTTATGACAGTTTGCCACTTTAGTTATCTCAGATTCTATTAGAATGGAGCATGAGGAATAGGGGTTTCATTTGATTTATTAAGTCACAGAACTAATGTTGAAGTTATCCATTTTGTCATTTGCAAACATAAAGTTCTTATAACTTCAAAACGCATTGATCGTTTCATAAACTTTTTAGTAATTTATTTACCACGAATAGAGAACTGAAGCCCACAGGGATTGCCTTGAGACTTCTGAGACAGTAGTGTGCGTGCGAACAGTGCAGCTCCATGTGGCTGTTCCTCTTCCTGGAAGTTCAGCGTGAGCAAGGGGAAGTGGCAAGTACCCTGTGTGCCAGAGTTACAAACTCCACGATTAACATTTCAGACTATGTCAGAGCAAGCTGAGTTTTCTTAGAGCATTAACTGTTGAGATTTAAAAATGTGAAATTGTGTTCAATCTAAAGTGGTGTGATTGCTTATATATCACTGGCGTCTGTCCGTGGGTGCTCAGAGGGTGAGTATCTGATATAATCACAAGATCACTAATGCTTCTTTCAGACTTTAGCCTCTGTTTCCTGACACTCCTGGTTGTCATATTAATTATGCTACTGCTCATCCCAGTAAGTTAAGCCTGGGTTAATTTTTTTCTGCATGATGCAGGGAATATTACAGCTTAATTACCACCCAGAGTGTGTTCCTGGATGCAAACCCCAGCACTCGCTCACCAGCTGCATGGCCAGGGGATGGCTGCGCCAACTCTTCTTAGTCTCAGTGGCTCTGTCTCACACGGTCGCTAAAGAGTTAACTTTGCCCGCGCTTATGGGAGCCAAAAGCAAGAACTGCTTCACACATAGCTAAGTCGCTTGGTTGCATTAGCACTGGGAGACTGATCACAGGCATCATCAGAGAATAACTGTGGCTGCAGTGGTGTCTGCGCCCCATTCCGCCATTTGTTTGACCGTCTGATCTGCTGATGTTGACTCCATCTGGTCATTTCCTGTTTGAGAACTGGATTCTTTGCGCCAGAAGATGGCAGCAGTGTTTCGTGTTTGTGTATGAGTACCAGACCTTTCCAAAAGTACCAGAGATTGAGGAAGATTGGAGCTTTAAATAAAATGATGCTTCTATCCTCACCTTGCTGAAGACAGCAAGACTCTTGATACTGAGTTGTCTGTTC